ATAGGTATTCTTAGAATCTGGGAGTTGGACTAGTATTCTGGGTTTTGATAATGGATTCTTGCAGTTTACTTCTGTAGAGCTTTATGAGCTTATAGGCGTCACTTTTTCAATTACCGAGAGAAAATTTCTGGATTTAATCTTGTTTTTATGGGAAAATTGGATTTTTTCTCACAGAATAAAGACTTCCAAAGTACTGACCTAATGTAATACAAGACTCATACTTGACAAGATTTGTGGTTTTTAATAGAAAGAGAAATTATGTAGCATTTTGTCTTCTGCGCTTTACTCACAGTGAGTCTGAGCCACATCATTAATGCTTACTGATATTTTCAGATAGTTTGGGGTCATAACTACTGTAAAATTTTAGTTATTTTAATGCCACTGGGGGCTTGTGCCATGTGTTAGGCTGTCTTATGGCAATGTAAAGTTATTGCATGGATTCACTGGAAGGCCATACAGGTTAATTTGTGTTATACCAAATTCTGACAGAACATGTCTCTGAGATAAGAAACCCAATAAGATAAGCATGGGACCAGAAGTGGAGATTAGGCCATGCTTCAGGTAATACATGGGTACCATTGGTGACATGCATTACATGGCATTTTGGCTTGTCTCTATTTATAGACAAAGTACATGAAAGATGAACCCGAAATGGGAAAGAGTTTTGAACACTGAATTTGCTTGATAGAAAGCCTAGATTTTCTTGACTCAGATTTTTTTTTTCTATGAAGAGGGAGAAAATATGGAGGGGTGTCGCTCTAAAGAGGTTCTGCAAGGAACGCTTTCAAAGTCGATTGACTTCAGGTTGATGTCAGGTGTCTGTAACAAAGACCTGCCTCTAAAGGACTACTGCTTTGTGACACACATGGTGGTACTATTAGAAGAAGTAGGGCTTTAGGTGGCCCTCTCTAAATACAGTACTTGCAGAAAACAGCTGTTAGTAACTGTATTAAGTCATTGAAACATGTAAGTGAGAGAGCATTATCATATTTTCATTTGTGTAATAAATTTGAAACCTTTGAAGCCTTTTCCAGGTACTTTAGGCTGTTTGTAATATGTTTGTAGCAGAGATAGACAACGGAAGCGCACATAATTGAAGAATGATACTCTCTACGCAGAGAAGTACCCTGCCAAAATTACTATTTGGTCTTCAATTTAATAATTACTTACCTTGTTTCAATAAGCTGTTGTTAAAATGGACTTTCGTATGGAAACAAAACAAAACTTCTGTTTTGTTTGCCTGATTGTGGTTTGCATGTAAGTGCTGAATCCATTTTAGAAAGTGCTTTGAAGTGTCTTCTCTGTGGGAGAATTAGGTATATGTATGCACAATTCTGTGTTAGGGAACAGCAGGAAAGTAGGCCGAGATAATTTATTCTCTTTATCTGATTTAAACACCCCAAAAAAGGTGCTGTGTTGTATCTGCAGACCTTCTGCAAGGGTATGGCACAGGAGGACATGGAGTGGGGGGTGAAATATGGAGCAGCAAGGTACCAGAGTTTGAGGGAGGAAGGGCAGAAGGATGATAACCACGAACTTTTTGATTACAACTATTAACACTCGTAATTTTTTGAGAATAGGAAAAGGTAATGTATTGTTCGTGAGTGCACATAAGCTTCAGTCTTGCCTCTTTTGATTTACTCCTTGAGTTGTGAAGTTGGAAGGATGGAAATTTTGTCTACCAGCTAGATTCTTGGTTTCAGTTGTGGGCTTTTTTCCCCCCTAAATTTCTAATAACAAAGCAGGTCTACATCTAAAATTAAGATAATACTGCTATTGGGAGATTTGTGATGTTCTGCTTGAAGGAAATGGTTGTGTCCATTTTTAAAAGGCAAAGAACCATAACATTATATAAGATCATAGTCATTAGTAGGCAGGATTGCCAAGAGGTTAGTAAACAAGCATTAAAAAATCTCCCCTCATTTGTTTGTCAAACAGATTTACTTTCATGACAGTTTTTGAAGATTGTTGATAATTACAGAGAGATTTAGTCTGGATAAGCTCTTGAAACTTCAAATAGAAATTGGAATCTTAGTGGATGCTCTTCACTCCTTCACCAACAGTACCTTCCCTGAGGTATCCAACATCTACTTTATGTGTTCATAGAATCATTGAGTGGTTTGGATTGGAAGGGACCTTAAAGATCATATAGTTCCTAATCTATTAAGCAGTAATAGAAGCAGAAAAGCTCTGAACAAGAAATTTGGACAAAAAGTAATATTATTTCCAAAGATGGTTTTATTTGTCAGTTTACTAAGGTGTGTGCCTGGAGTCTTCTGCAGCCAAACCTTGCTTTTATTTGGACATTTAGTATATGGGCCAGTCATCCAATACATGTTAAGCCCTGGGTACATTTATTTAAATTCATATTGGATCAATAGCAGAAATAACTTGTTTTGGTTCTTTCAGATAAAACCACAAAGTTTAAAATAAAGTGGTGTTTTTATTCCTTGGAATAAAATTATGCTTAAGCTTGCAGTTTTCCTTTTAATTTGAAGTAGGTGGAGCTTGCTGCTGAAACAGGTGGTATTTTCTTTTTTGTAATCTGTAAGTTCCTGTGCCCTAGGTTTTGATACAAATAACTGTTCTTGTGGCATGGATCCAGGCATTTATCTGGCTAAAAAATAACACCACAAAAAAAAAAGTTCTCAGTCAGACCAGCTCCATTATCTAGTTTGACACTTGGAAAAATGAATATGAAGTGGCAGAGCAACGGCATGCAGGTATTGGGCCTTTAGGGAGGTACTGCTCTTTTTGGTGGCAGGCTGTATTCATATCAGGTGACAATGACTTTGGGCCAGAGCATGAAATACTGGCATTGCTATATAGTCAGAGGGAAACTAGATTGAAAAACAGAAGTTAAGATTTTGCACACCTGAGTGCTGACAGACATATTAAGTTTAAGCATGTCTTGAAAGTTCCATGTCTTTATACTTGTAGTAGCATAGAGTCCTTAAGATAATGTTGAAATATGTGTCTGAGAATTTAGGAAATGCTTTTCCCAGCGTCTCAAATGAAATACTAAGCAGTGGTACCTAAGACAGAATTTCTTGAGAAAGCAAAGAATCTCAGCATGTTCTCCCAATGGTAACAGTGATCAAAACTAAGATGATATTTGAGAGAGACATTATCTACAGCTTCCCTTGATTGTGTGTGATTGATTATGACTGATTGCAATAGCTTATACATACTGCATGTGTAATATGGCCTAGAAGCAGTTTCTTTTCTGAAAATTGACTTTGCAGAAATATTGCTTTATTACTCATGCTTACAACCTGAATGTATTAAAAAAACATGTTTGTAATAGTGATAAAATAACACATGTATCAAAAATAAGATAGATTATTAAACTTCAAATACAGGGATAATCAGTTGTGTCACTACAAGCTCTATCAAAACAATTGAGTTGTGTAAATCCCACATGAAGGCATAGCTTGCATGCCACTGGACTCCTGAAGGATCAGTAAGACCAAAATACTCAAACAGTGAGATAGGACAGAAATATTTTGGCTTGCATGTGAGTATGTCAGAAAGGAATTTAGCTTCTTCTTATCATTCAAAGATGACTTTGTAGTCATCTAAGTGGCTGTTAGATTTTTTTTTCTCCCATATTTAATATTTTAATCATTTGAAAATGGTAAAAAACACAAAGCCCAGATTTAAAGCTGCTTCTCAGGCAGAAGTGCTGAGTATTTGTCTGTGGAGGAGTCTCGTGAAAATTATTGTATAAATGTTTCTGTTACTTTATGTGACAGGTTTTTCTATTGAAACAAAACATTTTCACACATATACACACAAAGCAATGATTTTAAAAATACTAGAGACGATCTAGAAAGAGAAATAGACAGACAGTAGTCTTCCTTCCTTCTAGAAGGCTGGTGAAAATGTCTTAGATGAAGCACTGAAGTAGTAAGACTCTCTTATATAAAATCAGGTTTTTTCCAAATAGGAAGTGTTTGACCTCTTCGAGACATGTTCATTTTGATGTGTCTGTTTTACAAATCTAATTTAATCCTAGTTATAACTTGAGGCCATAAAATTTTGTTTCACTGCAGTAGTAAGGACTTTGTTAGGAAAGCTGAAGAAAAGTGAGCCCAGATCTTTGACTATCTAGTATAAATGTGCCTTTGCTTCTAATTGCTGAAATCTGAAATCTTTTCTTAGGTTTTTGGAGAACCCATTTCTGTTTGTATTTGAGGTCAGTTTCTCTTAGTGGACAGCCACTGCAGACATCTTCCAACTTCTGTTTGGGTTTAGGTGCCTCTCTGGAAAACAGAGTTTATTTATCTGTTGCTTAGATGTTAAAAGAAAGCATAATATTAGTTAAATCATGTGCTTCTTGTTGCATTTCCTTAGTTTGACAGCTGAAGAATTTTAGGGATACTGCATGAAATGACAGGAATAACAAGCAACTTGGGATATTTCATTGATAGGATGCTGCATTACTATTTTAGCATACTAGGAGAAGTTAGCTGTATCATTGCTCTTCCTTTTAGGAAACAGTTTGGGTTTGGTGTTTTCACCACTGAAAAAATGTTGGATACTTACATTTTCTTCAAGATACCGATTCCACAGAGCAGCTTGCCTTGTTATGGGCTAAAAAAACTTTTCAGATAGCAGTAGTATATTTTCTGTTCAAAGGTTTGTCATTGGAACATTTTGTACTACCAAGTTTACATGTAAACCAGCTGACTGGTAAATATACCAGAAACTCATGACATATATAAACTCTTGTGATGTGTGAACATAATGCGATATTATACTTTTGTAACTCTGCAGGTATAACTGTGTTCTTCTCTTCTTCTGTTCCCTCAAGTATGGTAACTTTAATTGCATTGGATAGTTGAAATAGCAGTATTCGTAGAAGAATTTACTGTGCAGTACCACTGACTGCACTCTATGCACCTTTATGTTTACAGTTCCTTTATGATGAATGGCAATGCCAATTGTAAACCAAAACTTTTTTCATACATTAAAATTGTTTCCTTCTGTCTTTGAAGGTTACAGAAAGCAGATCAGACCTTGAAGATTTACACCTTTATGCAACTCCTCGGGAGCAACGTTTTCGTATGTTTGCCAGTTTAGAATTTGAAGGACAGCTATATATGACTCCACATGACTTCATTCAGGCTGTTACAAGTGATGAACCCAAACGTAAGCAGGAGTTTTATAATGATAAAATTGCTAGGGAAAATGTCAGCAGTGTATGTTATTTTTCCATTTGCTTTTGATTCCTACTTCTGTTTCTGATTGCAGTAAAAGGATACTGCATCTTCCAGAATTTTATTTTTAATGGTACCCAAGTGCATACAATCAGTATCCTGATTGCTACTAGATCGCAAACATCTGTATGCTATTAGTTTAACTTTCTTCTCTTAAAGGTCACAAACAGCTCAACAGCCATGAAGGACAGCAAGTTAATTTGTGTCATTTCCATGGACACAGTTTCTTTCAGAGCAGGCCAGTATTGCTGTAAACTCTTGCTTCCCTTCTTTATAGTTATTCTATTAACAGGCAACATACAAGTTCTCTAAATAACTTAGGATAACATTTTTTGTGAATGTTGCCATCCAAAATTGTCATCTGCTATCCTGTTGGGGTGTTTTGCCCCACAGAGGTTCTCTAATGATATCAGAGCATTCTAAATAACATGCTTTGACTAAGAGATTCAGTCCCCCAAAGGGATCCACTTTCTACGCTTTAACATTGCAAGAGTTAATACTATGTGTTAATGAAATTAATGAAAAATCAGCTATCAACTTTAGTTCATTTATTGTAAAATCTCTGCTTTAAGTATCAAAGAGTGACTGATTAGTAAGGTGATCCCTTTCTGCTCTAGTTTGATTTCCTGCCCCCCAGGCTTGCAGTGCATTGGTGGCAGCACACATCTTTTGGGGAATGTGAATATCTTTGCTCAGGTGTGACATGTATGATCATTCACCTTAGGTCTTTCTTCATAAAGTCTACACCACAGAGCTTGTATAGAGAACAGCACTAAAACAGTCAGAGGAGAGCTTAAAGCTCTGTGCAGATGTTGGATTTTTTCCCTTTGTTCTCCTAACAGTAATGAAACGAGGAAAGAATTTAGCCATGGCACATCAAAACTTCTGTAACTTTTGAATAAAGATATAATCTCATTATAACAGTGAAGACAGAAGATAGAGCTTAGATGGGGAAAACTTGCAAAACTTTGAAACTCTTACCAGAAAGCAAAATTTTTTTTTTCTTTGCAGTTAAAAGAGGGGAAGTAGATTGATGTGTATTTGTATTAACTCTTGTGATAAGCAATGATTTATATCTACTTCCTCTGCCCAGACCTTCAAGTCTTCCTTTTTCTGTTACTGTGGAGTTGGGTTTCACTGTGTATGGTCATGAAGCATTTGTGCTACATGTACTGGACATCAGTTCAACATTTGGTTTAACTCCATTTTATGACAGTTTGACTGGCTTGACCACACTATATGTATGATTTGCTGTTAAAATTTCCCATGCTAATGAAATTTCTGCTTTCTCCTCTCTCAAAGCAAGTGTTCAGATTTTAAAAACAAAGCCAAATCAAAAAGCACTTAACTCACAAGGACATTCTCTTTATCTCATTGCAAAGGAGAAGAGATCTGGGAGCTGACCAGTCAGGAAGCCTTCTGAGTTCAGTGTAGCAAGCCTTGTTTGTATGAAAATCCTTCCTGTGCATCCAGTTCACCTCTGAGACTGAAAGCAAAACTAACCTGGGTGTCCTTTAGTTTTTAGATTATTATCAGAGATTACATGGCTGACAATTATTTTAAGGGATTGTAACTGTGTGGAAGTGGATGACTTCATTATAGTGGAAGTCATATTGTCTGGGACATTTGGACAGAAGGCTGATAAATAGGAATAAGTGAAATAGATGACTCACAGATTATCACTTCCAGCTTCTCATATCTGACTATGATAATTTTAACTCTTGTACTGCAGCATTGTCAAAGTACTGCTTTGTCTGCTTGAGCAAGTCTTAATTTTCTGTCTTGCTCTATTGAAGGCAGTGTATTTAAGGAAAGTATTTTTCAGAATAAAGTAATACCTTCTACATCTTATTTTGTATTTTTGGGGTCATTGTATAAATAAGTTGCAAGTTGTAAATAATTGGGTCCACTCAGGCTGACATACTAGAGCATCTATATTTTGCATAAGAAAAAAAGAACATACACCTGGGAGGTTTCATGGATGAAGACTGGGAAGGTTTTTGAGTTTTGTCAAAAAAGAAAAAATGCCCTTTGAAGCAGCTAATAGTAGCTCTTTATGTCTGCTTTATAGAAAAGCTAATAATATTAGACCTGAATGAGATTTGTGATGGAGTGAATACGTCTATTGTCATTGATTTACTTTGGAAATCATGTAAGCCCTACAAAAGTCAAGAGGGTGTTCACTTCCTTTTTTGATTAAACACTAACTAATATTATAAGAGTGTATTTTCTCTTATAAAGTGTAGCTTTTTACTCCAGGCAGTTATTATAGAAAATAGAAAATAAATGCTATAATTAACATGCTGCTGTCTTTATGGTGCAGGGTTTCATTTGGGAAAATATAATATTTATAAGAGTCAAGCTTGATACATTTGTATGAGCCAGTTATGAGAAGAGGAAATATATTTTGTTCCCTGTAGTGCTAACTACAGTAATTTTAGCCTTAGCTGTAAGAAGTATGAATATACACATAGATCTTCACTGACTTGTCTAGAAAGAAAATATGTTTATAATGTATGAGACTGGAAAATTATCTGATTGGAAAATTATATATATATATTCTCCAAGATTTTTATGGTAGGCATAAACATAGATGGCAAATGAGGTTGTTTTGGGGGAGTTTATTTAGTTTTCTGACACAAGACTTTTAATTGAATTTTTAAAAATAAGGTGAAAAGAATATGAAAATCTGTTAGCTCGTGTTATGATGTTGTTTGATATAACTCCCCCATAGTTAGTTTGGGATTTGTGGACAGCCTTGGTTACAACGTTTACCAAGATGTAAAATTAAAATTTCAGTCAGTTTTTAACTATAATCTAATAACAGACTTCTAGTAGCTTCTGTATTGTGTTAATTATTTAATGGAGCATGCGAAAGGGATTTCTAATACCATAGCATGTTTTGCTCTATAAAAAGGAGCCTTTACCCACCAAAAATTTATGGATTTGAACACATACAGTGGCTACTTTTTGTACCTTTGTGGATTCTGATATTCACAGAGCCTTTTCTTAATATTTATTGCATCTTGCAAATATTTGTCTTGTGAGAGGGTGGGGATAAACCTCAGGTTTTGAATTCTTGAACAGTTATGGACAACTCTTGTTGAATATGAGTATCTTTCTCTGTGCCTGGAGTTAAAGTGTTAGGAAGAAAGGATCTGGTCAGTCTTACCACTTTTCAGTGCTAATGAGCAGTTCTTAATTAGAAGCCCTCTTCAGCTCTTCTGTTAGAACTTACAGAGAATTGAGCCTGACTGAGGCTGTAAAAGGAAGCATGAATCTGAGTTACTAGGAAGGGCTGAAGAGGGTCTTAGTGCCTGGTGTAGTTTAAAGGACTTCTTTTTTTCTGTGTTTGCTTTATAATGTGTCAGTACTTCCTGAAGCAAGGGCCAGAATCCAGGTCTCCCTACAAACTGCATTGTAATACTGCTGCTACTAAGTAATCATTTCAGAATATTGAAACCTGAAAACAGGAAACCCTTTCTTATTAAATGTTTTAAGAATGTATTTTGGAGGTTGAAAGTCTTTTCTCTCACTGAAGCAGAGTTGGATTAAGAACTATACATCTGAATTGTTTCTTTAAAGTTAGGACTTCAGGTATGTATGAAGCTAATTTTTTTAAAATAACATAAAGAGAATTTTCTTTTTAACCAGGTTGAAGGTTGTACTCATGAAGTAAGGAAAATACTACTTCTTTTTCTTGAAAACACAGTATATATAATGCAGTCTAATTTTTATGACATCACATTGGCAAAATTAAATTCTGTGAGCTCATGACTTTGTCTTTTGTTGCAGGTGCTAAAAAGTGGAGATCCCTTTCAAAGCAGGTGGGCATTAATTCCTGTGTCTCTTATAACCATACATTTTAATAGTTACTTTCATTCATGATGTAAACACAGAGTCACAGGAGAGTTTAGTTTCTTCGTTATTGTCACTTCAGAGTCAGTGGAATCCAGAATCTCTAATATGCTTTAGTAGTTGTGCCTGTTATGTTGTATTTACTGACTTTCTCAAGCCTTTGACAGTTCCTTCATCAGTCCATACCTGACTGCATTTCTTAGTGTAACAGGTATATCCAAAACGGACTGAAATACTTATACCACTCTCTCCCTTTTTGTGGTGTTTAAGTGCCTCTTACCTTTTTTTGTTTTTTATATTTGTATAACTGCAGAAGCATTCTGTTTCCCTGTATTTTAAGTAAAGTACATTCATATTTATGGGTGAAGTTTGCTTTAGTTTGGGTTGAGTGTTTTAAAAAACAGTTGCTTGGGTTTTGTATGAAAACTTCACTGAAATGCAGGGAAACTCATCCTTCACTGAATAGGATCAATGGTGAGTAATTTCAGCCATAAATACATTGCATTCATGCAGATGAGTAATGCTTGCAATAATTGTGTGTGCAGAATTTATATGGTGCTTGACTACTTCCAAAATGATTGTGGTAACTACAGATAAATTAACTGGTAGATTTGCTTGCAGTTTCTTGTCTTTTATATTGATTTCCTAGAATTTACTCATAATCTTTTAACTATTTCATTAATATTGAACTATATGCTTTCATATTTTTTAAATCTTATTTTTTAGGAACTGAATGAGATCCTTATGGAGACACCACCAGTTTGGAAAGGATCATCCAAACTTTTCCGTAATCTTAATGAGAAAGGTGACTGATGAAAACTTATTTTCCTGAACCAAATTATCACTGTATAAATTTGTTGTGGTTAAAGTGAAGTTGTGCACATCTTTGCACTGTATTTCCACGTATTCCTTTGCTCTAGGCTGCTTTCTATATAGTCCTAACATCTGACTTTTGAAATATCAATTGCATAAGAATTCAGCCTCAGCGTCTGTTAAATCAGTACATTATCAACTTTAAAAAAACATGTCTGGATGTTGCTTGTGAAGTCTGTAATAAAATGTCTGCAACATACACAGCTTTGATTCAACAGTATCTTATTCCAGTTTTCTGCCAGAGAAGTTCTCCAGAAGTTGATGGAATTAGGAGGACTCAAAACTGTCATAATAAGCTGGTAAAATTAGTAATAAACTGTAGCATAGTTAGCTATCTTTTCAGCATGCTTTCTGAAAAAGTGAGTTCTGTTGTCCAGTTTTATACATAATATACGAAAATATGATGGGTCTTAGGACTGATAAGGTCATTCAGTAAGCCAGTGAAAGGAATGGGAATATAATTCAGTCTCCTTAATTCTAATTTAGGTTTTATTTTTTTATTTATTACTTTACTCATTTTATTTAAAACATGCACATATGAAGCAAGTAGCAAAAGCCTATGTCCATTTATCTTCCCATGGATTTATTCAGATGAGCCACACGGATTTATGCCTGTTGTCCTTAAGTTTTATTATGTTTAACCCTCCAGTGCCCTCCTTCTCTTCTTTCTGATCTTAGTGTAAGCTTTTCTTCCCTTCAATCATCATTTCAGTGCTTCTCTCCCATAACACTCAGAGCAATCAAACAGAACTCTCTCTCTGCAGCTACAATACACCAGTACAAACAAAAGGAGAGAATGCTTTCAAGGCCTTTTGTATTGCTTTCTTCATACTGTGATGGACTACTTGACAATTGCCCTTTCTTCCTCTGTTTTACAACAAAGAAGGTGTCATCAAAAAGCCCAAAATACATATTTACATTTATTGACTTGTCATTAAAGAACGTTTTACATCACTGAATGAGAACCTTTGAGGTATCTGATTTCTTGATAGCAGGTCTTTGAAAACTAATTTCTGCAAGCTGCTGTATAAAATCAAGAGGATAAAGCATAAGAGAGTGTGCTACTTAAATATCTTTATTTAATCTTTGCTAATCTACAGTGTGGAGCTATGTGTAAAATGAGGAAAAGAATAGGTGATATTAAAAATACTTAGTAACTTTCCTAGCTAGATCTAGTAGTAGTAATAAAATCTTGATTGTGAAGACTTAAATTTGCTCTTGGATCAAAAGACGGGAAATGAAGTGCATATATATAAAATATAATATTTTTATATATATATAAATATATATATTATATAATATTATATATAAATATACATATTATATATTATATATATGTATATTAGCTTTTAAGAATCTATCCAGCCTCTGTTTAATGAGCCATTCTCCACCGACTGTAGTTGTTTATTTGCCATATTTAATGTACTCCTCCCCTGAAATACTAAAAACAAACAAAAACTCCACACTCTAGATCAATATTTTAGACAAATAACTCATTTAACAGGTTGAATACAGTTATATGCACACAAGTATGAAAATGCATAGACACGCAAACAAAAATTCTCCTTATACATGGATTTAATGGTTTCAAGTTTAGGATGTGAAGATAAAGTGAAACTAATATGACAAAACTTTTTTTTTTTTTTTGTCTTCAGGTGTGATATCTTACACAGAATATTTATTCCTCTTATGTATTTTAACAAGTAAGTATTTTTGGAAAAAAAATCCCAAAAGATTCCTTACAAATTTCTATGGTCTGAATGTGTTGCTGTATGTTAAAATATTCTTACCCTTCCTGCATATTGAAAAAACTATCTCATACATCTCTATGTCCATTTGAACCTCTTTTGTCCTAGTGGAATCTTGTGGTATGTTTATTTAAACGTTGAGGAAGCCGAGCTATACACTTCAGCTGAAGCCCAGTTAAGAGCTTAAGTTTATTTTCTTGTTTGAAATTCCTACAAAATTTCAAGCTAAATTTGCTGACATTCATGAGGGACACTGAATATAGGGAGCAGAGAAGGATACCCATTATTACTTGTCTCTTTCACCTATTGGTGCCTGATAGGTGACATCAATGAGACAACAATAAAATATAAAGTATTTATGTTAGAAAACACTAACAAAATTGAATAATTATGCTTTTATCACCCATAAAACCGACTTAGAATAGAGTTAGACTGAACTGAACCTGATAGAGACTTTGTTTTGATGTTTTGAGATGTGTTTTTTGGGAAGGAGCTAAGAGTTTTATTTGTCTTTTATTTGTATGTAAATAAACCATTTCTGTTGGATTCATTAGTGGGTATTTATCAGACGTGATCTGGATTCCTGTTATGAATCAGAGCAGGAGCTTGACCCTGAACTCTTACTGTCTCCAGCTCCAACTCAGTGGATGTTCTTCTGTTACTTCTTTGTTACCTGGGTTAACTTTTGGCCATAAATCATCCGTATTTTAGATCTCTTGAGTATCACCAAAATGTTGGCTAAAGGCTTCACTTCCCGTTACCTTCCAAGTCCCCATGTTTCTAACATTCTAAAATTCTAACCTGGTCTCAAACGTCAATGGCTCTAAGCATGTAAACAAGAAGATGCTGTATGTCTTTCTGTATAGCATTTATTTTGATCAGAAGTTGTTCCATCCTGTAACTTTTTTGCAAGATCTTTAAAAGTGTCTTTTAGAACACTGTGTTTTCATAGGAAATGTATTTTCTACAAATCTGGTTTTGTAACATAAAATGGATTCTGCCTATGGACACTCTTAACTACCTAACCAGCCATTACTGTGAGATATTATTCTTGGATATTTCATGTTCTATTTCTACTTTTGTGAGCATTCCTTCTGTTGGCATAACATGGGTAATACTATTTTACAGATGTTACGATCTGCATTTACTATGTACACAAATGTACTGATGTAGATTAGTTGAGGGTATGGCTTTTATAAATGGACATTGAATATTGAATAATTTCTTGGGGTTTTATATTTGCTTTCTTTCAAATAATTGAATGGGATTTTTTTGGCAGAGCCACATGCAGGTTTTAGAATTGCTTTCAACATGTTTGATACGGATGGCAATGAGATGGTGGACAAAAAGGAATTCTTAGTGGTACGTATATTTCCAGGTTTTGAAGTAATCTTGAAACTAATGTGATGATGTCAATAGTTATGAGCCTACAAGCTATTTTTCACTGAGTGCAGTTGTTTATTTGCCTTATTTAATATGCATGGTTATTATAGTGTAAATTGAAGAGTAGCTCCTTCTTACAGTGCATGAATGTGTTGTATATAATGATTTTTGAAGCTTAATTCCAGTTTTTATTCTGTATCTTTTTAATTGCTACTACATTCACATATAGTTAGGCTATTAAAGTAATATAGCTATATCAATTGTCAGCAGAGTTACTTAATTGCTATAATCATAAGAGACTTGCAAAAGACTCTTTTCCTGGGAGACCACTTCCCTTTGCCAGTCATTCTGCTGATAATTGCAAGTAACCTGAAAATACTGACTGACATAAGGGGACACTATCACCTGCTTTGGACAAGATTTATAATTAAATAAAACATACTATACATATATCTAATTCAGTTTCTCTAGAAATTAACATCTAAAATTTTGTGGTTAGTGGTGTAAACTTCACAAGACCTTTATTTTCTACTGAACAAGTACAGATGATTAATAAAATATATATAAGAATTGAATCAGATGCTTGTAAAAAAAGGCATTTGCAGAATACATAAATTTTTTCTTCACAGAGTTTTGTGTAGGTGAGCTTATAAATAAATGCAGTAAATACACATGAGAAATAGCCTTTGAACTCTGTCCAGCATTTGGAAAGTATTAATCCGTAGATTACAGGCAACTATCAACACAAAATTGGAAGTACAATTAATACTATTCAGTTTTGCAAATAAAGAGACTTTGAAGAGCTTTGTTTTGGGATCACATGTTGGGTGATTCTTGAGGAGAATAGTATGTGTAGTGAAGAGTTAAAAAATGCTTAATTTTTCTGATAAAAGCTTTAGTGTTTTTGTAAACTAAGTCCATGGTGTTTGTGCTTCCCTTTTTGCTTATGTAATAGTGGTGAGGTCAGGGAACAGACGGATTGTGTTGCCTTGTTAGAGGAGATCCTGTTTTTGCTGGCTTCAGCAGTCAGTCCCATTATCCTGTTTCAAACAGTGTTCCTATGAAAGTACTCCCAGACCCTTTTTGAATTCACTTTTTTACTCACTGGTATCCTATAGCAGCCTTTCTGAACAAAAGATCCATTTCTAGAAGTTTAGCAAGTGCTTTAATGATGTATGCAACAGGATCCTACTCCCTTTGCCTCTGTGGCAGGGAAAATCCAAGGATGCATTGCTTTTTACCAGTCTTTTTTGGTTTTTCAATTACTGCCACTCTTCGTTCCTGCTTGATGGCTTGTCTCTTCACTTTTCATAAGGGACTTTCTTTCTACTTCTCTCTCTTCATGTAACTCTTTTCTTTCCATTGTTCTGAGTTGCAAACTGTGTAATACTCTAGGCCATGCAGGTAGATGTCCTGTCATGACTCTTTCCTTGTCAACATAAATTACAGTTATTTGGGCCTGTAGCTTTGCTAAAAATTAGAAAAAAAAAAAATCAAGGTCTATAAGTTGATCCATACTCAGAAATAGGCATAGTGACACACAAAATATTCTTGTCTATATTTGCCTTATAGGAAATTCCAGAACACTGTAGTCAATTTTCTTAATTCGTAAAATGTTTTTTATAAATGTGTTTTGCTACTTAATTACTAAACACCGAATTCTTTTGTTTCAATATTGTCATACCCCTGCAGTAAAGCTTGCTGATCCCCTTGTCCTAGGCATCTGCCTTCTCTGAAATAGTGATATCCTGAAATTTAGTTTGGAACATTTCCTTGCAAAATTTATCACACACACTTTATGTTTCACATTCCTATCCCTGGGGAGTTGTGTGGATGCCATTACAGTATCAGGTTTTATCAGACTCTTGGTAGGTAAAATCGGGTCTTTGAAAGGACTGCCACAATTGTGTCTGTATGCCGTGGTGTTTGGTTCTGAAAATACCATATTCCAGATAGGATGAATTTGTCAGCTGCAGTATTTATTCTTTTTCCAGCTCACTTAGAGGATAACAAATGCTACAAGTGACAGTACAATATTTTCACTTGCAATATTTTCACTGAAGTTGACTGGTAGAGATCTAGATGATGTCATAGTTAATACTACATTCTCTTGCTATGAAGAATAAACACACTTTTTTCTAATGGTTTGGGAATATTAATAGGTATTGCAGTAAATTAAAAGATCTAAATAAACCAGATACTTACAAAGTAAGTACTGGTAAGTACAAACCAGTTCATACTCTGAAGATTTTACAAAAATAAATATCCTCAAGAATCTATGTTTGAAATCTTGTATTTGAGGTTTTCTCAGAAGTCGTGTTTAAAGCTCTTAATGTTGAGATAGTTGTGAAAGGGGTATTTTACAAGACCTGAAGGTATTCTTTGAACAGACTTGAAAAAAGAAGGGTACTTGATAAATTACTCTTGAGTAGTAGTCTGTTGCTGCTGAAGGGGAATGTTTCACCCTCACCAGGTGTTTCTACCCCTCCCTTGTGCCAGCAGGAGTTAAGAACTGATCAGGTTGGAAACTAACAGTTTGAAAAAAAGATTGATCCAGCTGACTGCGTAAGCACAGAGATACTAATTAGTACCCAACAAGAAAGAACATGCCTTGAGGTGGTAAAAAAGGCTGGAACTCCCCCTTTTTATATAGGTCAGATTGGCTAAATAGGATGTTCTTAATATTGTGCTCCCAAGTAGAATCATTAGCCTTACTTTGTGGAAAAAAATATTTCCTTTTTCCTTTCTGTGGGATGGTTTAAGTCACAGAAATAATATAAAGGCATGACTATGAACAATAAAGCATCATTGAAACACTGATATTTTAGTAAAGAGCTACATTTTAATCCTGTTTGTAGTTACCTTGTGATGAAAGGTTGTTATGCATGCAGTATAGCCTGAACACTAAATAGGAATAAAATGGTTTGTTTTTTAGCTCCAAGAGATCTTCAGGAAAAAAAATGAGAAGAGAGAAAAACGAGGAGATGAAGAAAAACGTGCAATGCTGGTAAGTAAAATCAGAATAGTTGCATTTGGGAGTTGGTTTGCTTTCTTCTATGTAGGACAAAATTGTGTGTGTATCTATTTCACTAATCACTAGATTTTTTAAACACTAAATTCATATTGTTAAAAGAATATGCATAACCCTATATATAGAAAAAAACCGTTTATCCTAAACTGCAGTTGCTGAAAAATAAAAGTAAGTGGCTTATATAAAGGAAAAAATAGTGTTTAAATATGTTTATGACATATTACAACAGTACTATTGATTCCATTTGGAGTCTTTAAATCTAGGGAAAAGTGAATAGTAATGACCAGTGAGAGAGCTTGGTGGCAAGACCAAGACTCTTGCTTTCATAACTAACTAAAGCTTTTCATGTAGATGTACTGATCCTGATGCTTGTTATCAATAGAGTAGTTTTAAAGTAGATTATGAAATACTACAAGTGAACTTAGATTTTATTTTCAAATTTAAGTCTTTACTAAATAAGCCTTATGACCAATGCAAAATATTTTTGGTTGTATATATTAATCTGAATAGATTTTTATGGAATATTGCATACTCACATGATGTCAAATTTGCATTTCTTATGGACATAAGAAAGGTAAGTCAGAAATAAATGAGTCTGCGGTAGCAGTAGCAGATACTTATTTTACTGCTGGAAAAGTGAAAATTGGGCACGAATGTCTGTCAAGCCCACAGCAGAACAAACTACATTCATTTGCAATTTGCATATTTATGGAAAAAAATGTTACTATAAGAAACATTTTGACACATGCACAGAACTTCTCACAGTATCCATTATCCTTTTGCGACTGTAGATGCTTGATCTCAATTCTTTGTCCCTGAAATCAGTAAGAATTTTGAATTTTTTTAAACCTTCCCACCCAGAGAGACCTATCCTGCTCAGCTTTTCAAGTGCTGGGTCAGTTGTTGCATCTCTGACATGCTGTTTATTTTGAACAAAGGAAATTTACACACAAAGGAAGAGCTTTTGGAAAACAAAGATTTTGAAATTGCATGTTTCTCCTGAGAGTAATTTCTACAAATCCATACTTCTCTTGTGAAAATTTTTAGCATGAGATTGAAAATAAACCATTTTTTCTTCACTGTCATTTTGAAAACAAAAAACCAAAAAGACTAGTAGTATAGAAAGTAAAGATTTGCTTGTTTTAACCTATTTTGTTGTCTTTTTTGTCTCCCTTCTTTTGTCTTCATTCTGACATGTGATACTTGGCTTGGCCCATTTTCGCTGTATGTCAGCGTCTTCAACTTTATGGATATCAAACTTCTACTAACAGTGTATGTACTCTAATTATTTTCAATTGATGCAGTCTTCACCAGTGAGATAAAATAATATGCTATAAGAAAAGTTACTGTATTTATCTTTTTCATGATGTAAATTACTTCTGCTAATCTGTAAAAATGTGAGGCATCTTTACTTGTGTAAGAGATTGTGCATGCTCATTGCACACATTCTGAACAGGCAAGCCTACCAGGAGGAAAGGCTGTTCTCTTTATTTATATATGAAGGAAACAATATTTTTAAGGGAAAGTTAAAAATACATTTTAATAAATTATAGACTTGTTTTGAATTAATGTATGTAAATTAAGTCATCCTGCATGAGTCATTTGATCTAGTTCTTGTTTCCTTATGTATAATGAGAAGTAATAATTAGTCAAATGAATCCTTTACCTCTTTGTTTCCCCCAAAAAGGGAACCTGAAGAGAGCTCTCCTGGTTTTGTGCTTCACTTACAGAACAAATACGTGGATTATACAGAAAATAGTCCCTGTATTATGTAGGTGACAGTAAACTTCTTTTCAATAATTTCTGAGAGGTGGGAGAGAGAATCAGCACAAGAGAGATCTAGGATTTTAATGTCTTCATCTTGACCTCATAAATTTTTGGATCATGGCAGACGTAAAACTGTTTAAAAAAAACCCAGATTGATTTGCTGTTTAAATAGAAGAATTGATCTTGTTTTGGTATGATTATTGTGATATTCAAAGTGAGAGGATGCAATCTATGGAAATTAGATGACTAGTGAAATTCCAGTTCTAAAATTTGTTTCTTTATACAATTACAGGAATGTGCAGATTCATTTCCTGTGAAGTTGGCACGTACAATTTGGGCAATATGCAGGAATTAAGTCTGTTGAATTAAAAGATGCAATTGACAGGACGTTGTGAGAAAAATGTAATAGAATACGTAAGGCGTTATGATTCAATGGATTTCAGATCAGTCTTTACTGCAGTGAAACATTCTGTACAGTGGTTAACATATTCTGCTGCTGCTGCCTATTTCAAACTGAAACCAAACTAGTTAGGCATTCTACTCATACAATAATTTTCAGCTTCATTAAAAATCCTCCTTCTAGACTCCAGCCATGTCCAAACACTTTATCAAGATGATGTTCAGGTGTTTTCCATCTTTCTTTTGCCTTCCTACTATCTGAATGGAGATCTCCATGCTAAGGAAGCTCAGGTGTATAGGAATTCACAGTATCCCATAAATCCCTCACCCCCAAAATTGATATTTTTGGGTCTTCTATTTCTCCTACTGAAACAAGAAGTGTAGCAGCCTTTTCAGTTTCCCTTGATGTCCAGTGGATTTGAAGATCCTCAGGACCAAGGAGATGCAACCCTAAAATTCGGGGATAGTCCAGGATGCTGTGTTGGGCCCTTCTCACTTTGTTTTATGAAATAATTCTAATTTTTTGAAAAGTGTTATGGTCTATAGACTATAGAAAGCATTGAGTGGTGTTTTAAATGGGTTAAATATTTTAGTATTTTCATTTGCAAATTCTTTCCAGCCATGTTCTGGTGCATACTGCATTTGTGTCTAAGACTGCTTCAGCATGTATTGCATGAGTGCTTTCACTGACCAAATGCCAACCAGAACATGATAATTATGATGAGATGCATGTAATGAAAATAAAATGTGCACACCCAGAAGTACTAATTCCATTGACTAAAGTAAATCTCCAGTAAGAGAACAAATTCAGTGAATATTTAAGATAGATAATTACAGAATTGTATGCATGAAAGAATAAGGTGCTGTTCATTCACTGGACAAGGTAAGTTTGATCATCAGATGTGCACAGTGTTTTCCAGACAAGTATATTACTGTTGAAGTTGAACCTTAATAGGCTTATTAGTTGAACTTACTGCCTTTCTTTTTAGTGCAAGGATGTCATCCTGATTATTGGATGAAATTATTTTTATATAACTAGTTGTATGGTGATATTTATAATTTGATCAACGATAAAACACATTTCTTATAAGTTATAAATTATTACTTTTTTGGCAAAATATAATTACTAGAAAAAACAACAGCAAAATGCTGAGTTTAAATGGGCATTTTCACTTTTAATAAGTATACTTTTAATTACTATATTAATAACTATTTGCACTTTATGTTTTCTCTAATTTATTTTGCTTGGGAAAGTGGAATCTGGTGATACTTTCGGCACCACCAATAGTATTAAGCAAGTAGCTGTAATAGGCCAGTGTTCCTTTCATTTGTAGAGTGTTATCTAACTGGATTGAAATTTCTGTTTAAAGCAAGGAAACCAAACCATGCTTTTGAAGATCAGTTGGAAAATATTTTAAAGTTTATAAGTGGTTTTTCTATTGTTCTTTGTTTTTCAAACAATTGTGCTTCTTGAAACTGCAGGTTCTTAAAACTGAAGGAGAGGACCTTGTCCCCCGAAGCTACTGGGATACTTTGAGACGTAGCACAAGCCAAGCACTCTTTTCAGACCTTGCAGAGGTATAAGACAGCCTCTGTCTCTGGTCCATAAACAGACTGCTATTTTATTTATTTATTTCTGTTCTGAATATTTTCCTATTTTATGCACCTTTATTTCTTCTCTTCCTTTTAATTACTTTTTTTTTTTTAAACCTGAAAGTTCTCAGATAAAAGGCATTTGGTTCTCTGCAGTTCAATAACTGAAAGTTGTAATTTCCAGGAAAAAGCAAATTTACCTTTTGAAAGAGTTGGGAGATCAAGTCCTCTTCAGTCCTCACTATAAGAAGCATTTTCTAACACTAATAGTGATGGTATTTCACAGTTGGAGAAGTAATTCCATAAACTTTTGTCGTTTAGACTTGGTCTAGTGATATGACAACTTTAATGAGAGTTGTGGCACTTTAAGCTTTATGTCCTTAATGCACTTTTTATGTTATCTTGGCCTATCTTCACAAAAAGTATTATGGAAAGATTTTTTTAATTATTGGAGAAAACCAGGAATGTTTTAAGGTAACCAAAACATTAGTCAGTCTTTTTTAACGTTACACAATCATTATGGAGGTCTACAAATATCACTGAGATGTGAAATTAATTTCCATACTGATTAAAATTCTAATAATTAATGTTTCATGGTCTGCTTTCAGATAATTGGGTAAGACATTCATTTGTATCAGTGATTTCAGAGGGTCAGAAAACTAGATCATTTAGGCTTTTCTGTGCCCCATGCAGTGAGAGTGACTTCTCTACTGGTTGTGGCATTAAAGGACATACATTAGCTCCCCAAGGACCGGTCTCTAAGTCCCATGTTTCCTAAGCAGGATCATAATGAGAAAAGAACCAGGAACTGAAACAGACCTCCAGGGTAAAAGAGTCTTTTTCTTTGGTTCGTAAGCAATGTGTGCTTCATATTAGAAGTAATTAGTGTTTTGTCCCCGCTGTTCCTCTGCAGAAACTACTGAATAACCTGAGGACTTTAATGGACTTATTTCTAATTTCCAGGCTAAATTTACTGATAGTCCCTTTATACCAGTCTGTTGTTCCTTAATTTTCATAGGGTTTTTTCTTTTTTAGTGTTAATCTTCTTACTCATAGTTGTGTTTATAAATGTAGTAAGATCCCTCAGTTTTAATTATCATAAACCAAACAAGGTACTTGATTTTTCTCTTAAAGTAAAACCTACACTTCCCAGGTGTCAAATAGGCCTTTTCTGTATTTCTCTCTGCTTGCATTCATTTGCCCTTGAACAAAACAAAATGTAGTTTACAGAATTGAGTTTTATAACAATATTTATACCAATATCCATGGTAATAACACATACATAGTAATCTTGCAATAAATCAGTTTACCCTGCCTTCCTTTCCTTGGTTTTACATTGATGAGCTCCTGAACTGTTAGTCCAGTTATTAGTCTTTGTTTATTCCACCAAATTTTAAAACCCAGAATATCAGTGCTCTTGTCCAGTCAGCTGAGGGAGACAGAGGGGAGAGAAGGCTGCTCTTTTCATTGACCATTTACGAATTCAGTCCCAAGTATAGATGGATTTACATTTGGTAATCTCTACATGCATTTAATTTGAAGAGAGAAGTTTTTTAATACCTGATGCCTCAGACTAATATTTATAACTACAGTGTATGGAAGCTTAGCAGCAGCTATGCTCAGCATCGATTTCAAGTCTCTGTAAAGTGCATATAAAGCCTCTTTGCTCACTTGTAAATCATTTTATGAAGAAAAAACATGTTCTGCATTTTCTTCACTGACGATTTCCCACTTCTCACCATATTCATCTTTATGTCGTTTGGTTTAATTTTGAGCCAGCTGACTGTCATCCATATCTGTCATTCTTATCTCTGACACCCAGGTACTCTGAATAATACTATAGCTGTTTGTAGTAAGAAAGTGGCATAAAGCTTGGTGACACTTGAGTCTGTGTTGTTTCACAGGCTTTTGAGAAGGATATGTGTAAGCTGAAAAAGAGGGTAAATAAAGTTTGTTGCTGTGGGAAACAACTGGAAATGTCTCTTTGTGGAGAAAAGTTACTCATCACTTGTAGTGTCTTTCCAGGACAGTGTGCAATAATGTTTCTGCTCTTACTGATTTAGTAACTACACCATCCTGTTGGAATGTGCCACTTAGCACTGAATTCAGTTTTTGGGTTTATTCCTGAATTACTAAGTGAAACTGAAAATCAGTTTGTCATTATTTGTCACTATTGAAAAATCAAGAATTTGCAGTAAGAAAGCTCTTATTAAATAATATGCATAATTATCAGAATATGTTGCTACAAGTGGAATTAATGCTCATAAGTGTTACCTACTTTTATTCAGCCCTCTTTAATCACAAGCTTGAAATTAACTTTTCAGAATATCAAATAAATAGATTTAATGCACTTCAGGTTAGGAAATCATAGAATCAGATGGGTTGGAAAAGACCTCTGAGATCATCAAGTCCAACCCTTGATCCACTACCCCCATGGTTACTAGACCATGTAAGTTCAGAAGAAAAGGTGTTGCCATTATGCAGCAAGCCAATAATGTGATTGAAACACTTGTCTCCTGTTTGTCTCTTTACCTGTGTTTGTATTACAGTTAGTGTAAAGGTAAAAACAAATCAGCAGGATTTTATTCTCATTTAAATGACTGCAAAATGTATTTGATCAAAATTGAGGCTCATATTTGTGTACATGGAAACAGGTGTGGTCATTAAATTTTCACTGATCTAAAGTAAAAAAATTGTTTTATCAGGAACAGTAAACAGTAGCTTTAAATGATTAAGGCTTTGGGTTTTATCCTTAACCACGTAAGAGAGAGAATTTATTTAATGCTCTCAGTGGTGCACAGGAACACTTTTCAGTTGCCTGCAATTCTGCAGAGAAGCATACTGGGTTGAGTTTCTGCAGTGACGTTTTTGTTTGGGTTTTTTTCATTTAGTGAGGCCAACCAAATGGGAACTGTGAAAAGACTTACAGATTGTATTTTTTTTAAATGGTTCTTTAGATATGGGCGAATGCAACCTAAGTCTAAGGTTTTGAAATGTTTTTGCAAGATGAAAGGCTGTAATTTAACATTTGATATCTTTTCAGTGTACTTGAGGGAAATTGTTTGAATGTGCTTAGGGATTTAATTGCTTAAAAGACATAAGAAATCAGGGTATCTGCATTTCAGTATATTGTGTCCTGTAGTGGAGGATAACAATATTAAAAGACAAATAGTGATTACTTTTCTGAATTAGTTTGCTCACTTGAAGAGCAGAGCTGTCTTAATTGAAGGGCATGAAATATCTCTCTACCTCTATATACACTGTCATCTTATTTCTCCCTGGAGAAGAATATGAGAATAAAGAGGAAGGTAGGGTACATGAAATACAATCTTGAGAATCCTAAACTGATTATACTAAAGAACAGAAAAGTCTCTCTCATTTCTTTAGATCTTGGATGGTGAAAGGAAAGGATTTGTGTTGTTACTGCCTCATGTTTTCCCTTGTTGTTGATACACAAATACTCTTAATGGATATGGCATTTTACTTTTTTTACAAGTCAGTATGTAAATTGGAAATTAATATAGTATAGTTCAGAGATTGCAGATATGAAATGGTTTTTCATGATGTTGAACTATTCCATATTGTTCAAAATTTCTTCCTGATTTCTTCACTGGGAAGTGGAATTTCTCTGTCTTATAAATTTATAGCCTGTTCAGTCATGAAATAAAATCAAACTTATAGGACTCCGAGTGCAGCTTACAGGTTTATACATGCAGATCTTTATAAAGAGTTTTCTATACTTATGGTAAATCTCATAGGTTTAAAATCTGCCATTACGGTGATTAAAAGTACTAAAAAATTAGTACTTTTACATCTCCCAAATACTTACTGTGTTCCTTTACTGTGCATTCTGTTTTATACTGTAACACTAGAGTCAGCAGAAAAACTTCCTGATGGGTGGTAGCTTGCCTAGGAAGAGCAGAAACTACTGTTTCCCACTCTTTGCTTTTCATAAAATCTTGTCTTTGTAAGAAAAATGAGAGCTTAGACAAAAGTTTCTCTCTAAACAGGTGCAGTAAGGAGACTAAATACATTACTTTTTGTATTTCAAATGTTGGCAAGATGCCCATTAATTCCAGAAGGACACTGCCATGTTGGAATACTATGGCTTATTTAAGAGCCTTTTATTACTGAATTATTCTTCTAGCTCTTCTATGTAGCAAGAGTTTCTTTGTAAAAGAAGTAAAATCAATGCGTGTACACAATAGTTTAGGGCAATCAATGAATATGTAGTGGAAAAAATGGAATGCTGTGCAATCACTATACACAGATGATAGTTACTTCTGTCTGTTTTGTTCTGTTTTACTTTTCTGTTTTGTGTAAACTTCTGTTTACAACTCTTGCTATTACAAATGGTCAAAATCAGTTGACTTTCTGTTCCAATTCTGGCCTTCAAAGTTTTCTGTTATTAAGGAAAAAGTATTAATACATGTTCAGAAATTCCTGTTCTATGCAGAGAGCACATTATCTGCAGATGTGGAACATTCTTAAGAGAATGACTCAAAATATTACTTCATTATTTCAAAATATCTTATGACTCTGTGTTTTTTAAATATGTTTGGACAATAAAATTTAAACTGTAGTATAATGTATATGTAATTGATGTGAGTGGTTTTGGAATGCAGTCCCATACTTAATATTGAAATATGAGTATATGACGTAATGTCCCTTAAGTTCTTTGTAGTTGTATAGGAGAAAGGAAAGGAGATTGTGTACAAAGGAAATTATGTTTATTGTTTACCTCAGCTGACAATCATTTTTTTTTTCATGAGTTTCTGGCTTTATTTATCATGCTTTGCCCCTTTCATTGCAGTTTCCATGATACTATTTTGCTTGTTTAAGTATTTTTTACTAAATGCAATTAACAGGTAACACCACTTTTGTGTGAAAATTGCATGGCAAAGTTAATGTAATGGATTTTAATACTAAAACCTTTAATACGATGAACATAAAATACAAAATCTTTCAGTAGAAAGGTTTATTGTGATAGGCATTCTCAGATTATACTTCTGTATCTGATCTAATCATGGCCTTTAATTTTTTTCTTCTAATATTTAAGCGTGCTGATGATATTTCAAGTTCACTGTCAGATACTACACTGCTTGTACACTTTTTCGGCAAAAAAGGGAAAGCTGAACTGAACTTTGAAGATTTTTATAGGTGAGTCTCAACTTTATTAATTCCCTGTAAAAAATATTTGCATTGTTCTTCTAATTAATGTGTATTATATTACTATACCCATAGCTTATGCAGGCACATTTATAAGGTTTATGTTCCCTATGTGTTATATATAAAAAGAGCAAAATAAAACAATAAAAACTCATCTTCTAATGCTGCCACATTGGCAAATTTTGTTAGCACTTGTGGGCATAATTAGTTTGGGATGGAGAGGTTATATCCCAGCCCTGCCCTTATGGGTATGTAGGAACTCTTTCTTTGTTTTGATTTATTTTTTATGCAAAGATTTTCTGAAGATATCATGCAGACACCTTAGATCAAACTTCTTTGGGTAGAAGTGAAAACACAGTGGAAGCTATTGACTTAGTTATTATGACAGCAAAAATAGAATTTTAAAGTTTAAAAATATAGGGAGAGTGCCATCAAAACAGAACAATAAAACCATGTGCTTTAAATACTCCCAGTACCTATTGTCTTTATCACTTAACTGTGCATTCCAATCAATTTGTATTTTTCAAAATATTTTGCCTTAAATGAGAAGTCATTAGAAATATTCGGTATTTCACAGAATATAAAAAACCGTATCATCAAATCAAATCATGGTTGAGTTCAAAATAGAAAGCAGTAAAGGTAACTTTTCAAAAGGTAAAATGTTAAATTGCTACAGGTTTTGTGTGACAGTCAGATGAACATGAACTCCCAGTACACTATTGTGACCAGAGAAATAATTTCCCTCTTCGTTGTATGACCAGGTCATCAGGCAGAATTAGGGAAGTTACATATCCTTTTTGTAGGCAGCTGGTTTACAATAAAAAAAAAACCAACACCTCCCCCCCCCAAAAAAAAACACAAACACAAAACCAAACCAAAACAAAAACACAAACAAACAACCAAAAAAGGTTAGATTTAAAGGCTGCAAGATCTCATCATAGTTGGCTTGTGAAAAAGACAAAGGTAAGGTTAAATTGCAAACTGTAAGTAACTACACGGGGAATATATGTTGGGAATTATTTAGTACCATGATGGAATTTTGAGTTTAATATATACAAACAAAGATCAGTGACCTGCTGAAGAAGAAAATCGGGCAAATATAAACTAGAATTAAATTAAAAATGTAAGTATTAACTAATTTTAATCCTTACTAACATGTTTCATCGTTGTTAAGATCATTGTATTGATAAGAAAATATGTCAACAGAGATAAGGGATTTACCTTCTGCGCTGCAAAAGGAGAACTAATTTGTGTAGTGTTACTTGATTAATATTTTACCAGTCTGTTAAGAACATGAACAACAGAAATAGAAAGTGTAATGCTTTCTTCATGTTTGTTTGTGCTTCAGATTTATGGATAACCTACAAACTGAGGTTCTCGAGATAGAATTCCTTTCCTACTCTAATGGGATGAACACAATCAGCGAGGAAGACTTTGCCCATATTCTTTTGAGGTATACAAATGTGGAAAATACATCAAGTTACCTGGAAAACATGCGCTGCAGTATTCCAGAAGAAAAGGTAATTGTTAGCATTGGGCCACAGCATGCAGTCCCACTAAGATGAAAACATAGCCTTGTTGGACTGAATGAGATTCTGTCACTGAATTACTTAGTACCAGGATTTTATTCTGATCATAAGGTGTGTGTCTTGTTTTTCAGATTACGTGCTGAATAAAAAGTGGAAGAGTAAATAGGATACAATTGTGTTCCATAGGATTTAGCTAGTAATATTTTTGAAGTTTACGTAAACCATAAAAATATAGTTTAAATAGTATAAACCATACAACTTTAAAAAGAGCAATTTTCTAGCAGTGAAGTATTTATAAACCCCTTTCTTTCTTTTTTACTACTATTTTTTTGCACTACCACTGGACCAGCACCTCTTCAGAATAACACTGACACCTTTTGTCTAGTTGTTTTATAGTCTTAATAATGGATCACTTGTATATAATTATTGTTGGTTTGTGGTTTATATTAATGACTGAAGAGACAGAAATAATAATATAAACAGTAAAATACATGAGGTAGATAGTCCTTCATTTGTTTAACAACAAAGGTGTCATTAGAAGTGTATCTGAGAAATGTAGTGGCAACCAATAGGATAACATTAAAAGTAGCCCTTTAAATAAGGGCTGTTCTGGATATACTTCTTCTGTTTGTGTTTACAGAAGGAGATCAGATTCATCTGTCCTAGAAATCTAACTCTTCAATAGCTATATACTTTAATGGCATTGACAGCAGAGCTCGTGAGGAAAAGTAATAAATAGATTTGGACAGGTTTATTTGGTTCTGTCGATTTGAGAAATGAAATTGTAATTTCAGTCTTCACAGTAAGTAAAATCAGACAACTGACCTGAAAGAAGCCCACTCCAAAAATCAAGTTTTCTCTTCAGATGTCTGGATTATCTGACTCTTCCTGTGGTTGTACAGCAGTTAGGGCCACTGAGAGATAAATACAAGAGGGGAGTGAAAGATGGAAGCAGGGTTGTCTCTTTTCACCTGATTAGGCATAAGATGCAGTGGTAAAACTGGTGTCAGTTCCTGCTCAGTGACCCTTTCTGAGTTCCTGGTCTAGCTGCTGAGGCGCTCAGTTCTACTTGCCATTTAAAGGTATTATTCAGAGACAAGATACTGCAACAGAACTGCTAAAAAGCTCTTTCTGCGTGGTTCCAAGATGGAAATCTGAAAACAAACAAATAAAACCAAACAAAAACCAACAAACAAAACAAAAACCAACCAACAAACAAACAAAAACAAAAACAAAAACTACAAAACTCTCACTCTTGGGCTTGTATAGCAACAATGATAGAAGTATCACTTGGAAAACTGAAAATAATGACAGTTGTAGGTATAGAGAAATACTTTGAATGACAAAGGTAAGGTTAAGTAAATACAAGTACAGACACTTTCTTTTGAACACGAGGAAGTATTCTTTGGAGGTTCTCTAAGTCTTCCAATGTCACCATTCTGATAGCAAGTATTCCACAGTAGTTTCCTCTTCTTGACTTCTGGTGGAGCCATCAGTCAGGGAAAACTTTCATGTAGAAAGCTGTGTCACTAATTCACAGGTTTCCTTATGCTGCATTCTGGGAATATGTTGGCACAAGACCAGTGACATATATCTGAATGGCATATATATGTTCACCTCCATTAGGTGAAACGAGACACTGCTGTTTTTCATAGCTTCGTATCACTGGCTTCTGTAAATGTGGTGTTAGTACAGTGAAAAAACTGAATCCCTGTGGCATCTCTTATGCTGGTCACATTCTCATTTTGAAAATGGTATTTTGCCTCTTATTGCCATGGAGGCATTGTTCATACATTTGTACTTTCTTATACTTGTAATAACATTAAATTTGAAAATTATAGAATGTGATCTCTGTTTTATTACAGTGATATGCTGCAATACTAATACTAACCAGAGGATTCCATTTAGAAGAAAAATTAGTCGAGTCTGTAAAGTAATAGGCAGCTACTCTCACAGTTAGCGATGTTAATCTTTCAGGGCCCCATATGAAGAAGCCCCTAAAGCAACATGATGATCATTTGCCATATTGTAATCACATTAAAATATTCAGCTGGCATGCTGCCTGCTCACAAGATGTTTTCCTCCTTTTACTAACTAGATGCCAAGCAGTGATTCATTTAAGCTGGCATCTTGAATTACTACAGATATCAGCTCCTGAAGAAAGGCTATGCATTTTTAGCAGCACTGGTGTGTTAATATGAGTTCTCCTTGCTGTAGTAATATATAATCTGTTCCTATAAATAAAAAAGTTAGCTTCCTTTTTGTCATGGTTTAACCCCAGCCAGCAACCAAGCCCCACACAACTGCTCGCTCACTCCCCCACCAGCAGGATCAGGGAGAGAACTGGAATGGTAAAAGTGAGAAAACTTGTGGGTTGAAATAGAGACAGTTTAATAGGGAAAGCAAAAGTCATGCAGGCTTAATTCAAAGTCTCAGTTTAAGGTCTCTTTTAGAATTGATTTAGAGATAGTATATCAGGTCTTTGGATTTGTAGCTGAGAGAAGAGCAGAACAAATATAAGGAAAGAGGATAAAGTAAGCTATTTTAACAGTGTTTTCAAAGAAACTTTCACAGAACATATTCTGAAGTCTGGTCAAAATGCAAAGGATTTTTTTAAAAAGCTGAACAAGCCCTGTAGTACTTGATTCTTGGAGTATCAGCTGAAGAGACTTGCATGTTTAAATCTGGATATGTAAAAATTTCACCTTAAAGTACAGGCTTAAGGTAGATCATAATATGTATTTGTGAATTCATTCAGTGTATTTATGTGAGCACATGCACTCACATATATTTAATAGTGGTTTGCAGGTTTTCAGTAGTAAACATACTCCACTATTCATATAAACCTAGACTTTGTGTTGTGTCATAATAAATCCTGGAATTCTTAAATACTGCCTTGAACAATGGAACAGTATTTTCAACTTCTCTGGTGAAAATTGCTGTCCATTGCAGTTGCAAAGAAGGAAGACATTTTGCATTCCTCAAGGGACTCCAATTCTTTACTTCATTGAATCTTACTAGAAATCTCTCTTTTTTTAATAGGTGTATCTGTTTGTAAATGAAGTAGACATATATAACTGCAAGGTTTGTGTGTTCAGTTGTTCCTACTACTGATAATTCTTATGGTGCATGTTGTTCTTTTTTTTAGGGTATCACCTTTGAGGAATTTAGATCGTTTTTCCAGTTCTTGAACAATCTAGAAGACTTTACAATTGCAATGCAAATGTATAATTTTGCAAGTCGTTCCATAGGTCAAGGTAATTATTTATATTTTTTAAAAAAACCCTTGATAACAATATAGAAATATTGACAAAAATGCAAAAATGTTTTGTAGTTCCTAGTTTGTACTTTTAATGTCTCCAGTAATAGGCTAAAAAGGGTAGGACTCCAGCTTTAAGAGGAGAAGGTTCAATCATATCATAAGGGATATTTTGCCAAGTCATATAAGTGGTGGATAAGCTGAAAGCAGAATAGTTGTTCATCAAATCCTACAATACAAGAGTTGAGGCACTTGATGACACCAGTAAGAGATCAGACTAAGGCAAACAAAAGCATTTCCTTACAAGTGAGCATCTGGAATCTGGTTTCTACAAAGGTTGCAGAAGGAAACAGTGTCAGAAGGTCTGAAGCGGATTAGATTTTTTTAAGAAACCAGTATGTGGCTGCTAAAAGAACTAGCCATGTATGTACTGGCTAAAAATCCTTAATAAAAGAGTTGTGATGCTTGAGGGTGCAAGGTGAATGATATGTGGTAAGACTTGTGTGCTCTCCTCAAGTAGCCTCTTCAGTCTGACAAAGTAACACCAGCACAGTCCTACCTCATGTCCCTTCCAAAGAATTATATCATTTTCTCTGTGCTGTATTTCTTGGATTCTTTTTTGTGTCAAATAAATAAATCCCACATATGTGACATAGATTTACTTATATGATCTTCTGGTTTTGTTACTGCATGTAGTGTAGTACATGAACTGTTATATTTTGTGTAAAATAGTTGATACCAATTAAGCAGTGTCATTTTGTTTCAGTTGAGAACTACTTGATTCAGAACTGTAAAATTCAGTCCCAATTTTCACACTTTCACATTTAGTGTTTAAATGTGAGAACTCAAAAGTTTACTTGTATTTCACAGTATGTTGTCCACAAAGTACCATTAACTCAGTGGGTTTTAAAATTTTTTTTCTGGTGTTCTCCTTATGCAGATGAATTCAAACGTGCTGTGTATGTAGCCACAGGTGTGAAGCTTTCACCACATTTGGTGAACACAGTGTTCAAGATTTTTGATGTCGACAGAGATGACCAGCTGAGTTATAAAGAATTTATTGGGATTATGAAAGACAGACTCAATCGAGGGTTCAGGGTAAGGATTCTAATTTTTATAGTTACCTTAGTTGACTTTACTACTTACCGCTACTTTAGCATCTTTAGCACATGTAGATTTCAAACCAGCAGTGCATGTGTTTTATAGAAATACTGAAGCAGTCTGTAAGATAAAAACCTTCCTAAATTCTTGATTTTTTTTTTTGCTAGAAAGCAATACATAGAGGATACAATACACCTTTATCAAACCAAATCACAGATGAGAAATCCTCTGCATACTGTCATTTCATCCATACTGTTTGATTAATAGATTAGCATTAAGAATTTTAACAAGAGTAGCAATTATGTCTGGGTTGCTTGCAGAGAAAAGAGAATTTGTCTCTCTCAAGCTCTGGCAGTTTAGTAAAGGTCAAACACTGGCTATTATAAGACATAAAATAGCAAGTGTTGATAATAACAGTTGGAAAGAGTTGCAGCAGAAGATAGTTTTAAATTTTCAAATAAAGAATCAGTGGTGATGAACAGTGTTGTATTCTAGTTCAGAGTTGCTTTTGATAATTAAACCTTGCATATAATACATTCAATTATAATAATTATAATAAGCTAGAGGGCAGGAAATTACTTGCAGAAAATTTTCATAGGGAACAATGATGAATGTGTAGACCTTGCTGCCCTCTTTAGGTTCGGTATAGCGCCAGGGGAATTTTATAGTAACAGAATATTTTTTTAATTAGAGTATGATCAACAAAAGCCTTTTTTTATATATATGATAGGGGTTAACATTAACTAAACATAAAATGGTGTTCTTACTGACAACCTTATCACTTAGACATAAATCTTAAGCTGTATTATGGTTCTTAGATTCACATTTCGGTATGTTATTTCTGTAATTTAATTTCAGTTATTTTAGTTAGCTTCCTAAATACAGTGTTAGAACTTTCTGTGGTGTTGAGTTTAATAGTTTACTTGTTATTCCTGTAATATTATGATAGAACATAAAATGTGGATAACAACCACTGCATTTGTAACAAACTTATTTCCTTGTTGGTCCTCAGTTCCTTTTAATACGGTGTGGGAATGATGATTGTTTCATAATTGTTTTGAGATGTTTGGCTGTGTGTTTTAATTGTTTACTAATTGTAAGTGTGCAGTGTATGTTAATTTACCAGAAAATGGTCTGCTTACTAAGTAATTCTTGTATTATATGTTTCTATTTCACAAAATGCATGACAGAAATCACATATAATCCTAAAAAATCTGTATCATCCAGCACTATTCAGTCTCATGAATGTATCTTTCTTTTCCCTAGACCACTATAAAATATTCCAGTGGACTGTAAAAGAACTATAAGGAATAGCCAAGAACATTCAGAAGAATAACAGTCTTTCAAAATTACATGTCTAATTTTAATAAGATACTAAATACCTCCCAAATTGGATAGGAGTTCATCATGATTTGGTCCTCTCATTCTGTTAAATGCATTCTCTTCATTAATCAGTAGTATTACGAGACAATTACAGTACCAAACTGAGGAACTACAATTTCCAGTAAGTTTTCATAAGTGTTACAAAACACTGATTTTTCCAAGAGTGGGTAGTAGTAAAAATTCTGCAGAAATTTGCCTTTTCAGTTTAATAAACACCCACCACCCACTCCAGTCTTGGTTTAGAATGAAAAGTAGAAAACAAGTAAGAACCTTTTTCACAGAACAAATTGGTGAAGGTGTCATTGATTGCTTCCTGTTGTTTGTACATTAAAAGTGAAACAATATTTAATGTGTCCATAACAAGTGAAAATTGCCCTCTTGCTCCTACAGTGTGGAGGCACAAATGTTGTCTTGGTGCTAAATCAAAACTAACAAATCACTAACCTCTTCTTTATCAATAACTGTGTTTTCCATCCATACAAAGATTTGGTCAGTTCCATTATACAGATAAAAGGTCATAACAGCTTCTACTTATGCAGTATTTTGTAGCAGAATAGAAATCTTTGCCATGAGAAATAGAAACCTGTTTACAAAGTATAAATGCCCAATTTTAATGTAAAGTATCCCACAATTAACATCTATCCAAATCAATGTAGTGTCTGATTGTCACTCTAAAAACATCCAAAAATAACAGTTTCAGCTAGGCCTACGATTTGAAGTATGATTTTACAGTTAATATCTTATACTTAGCAATTCAACATTTTTAAAAGTTGTTTTGCTAAAATGTTTGCCCAGAATCTTCAGGGCATAACAGCGTTTGGTACCAAGACCAGGTATTTTAGAAAAGCGCATTTTGTGGTTATGTAGTCAGACTAAAGCAAACATATTAAAGAGCAAAGAGTTACACAAGTCCAACGAAAATGGAGCTCTGAAACATCAGTCAGAACCTACCAAGTTTGTCATATTTAAAAGCTTAGCCATGACTTTACAAACTTGGGGAGGATCAAGTGCTACCTTTTATAGGAACATAATAAATATTCATTTTAACATAAATTTAAATACAGTTTTGGAAAAGTAAACGTCTTAAAGAGTTTATCAAATGACATTTCTCTCTTTCTACAATTTAGTAGCATAACCTGAAACCTTGTTTTTGGTTTTAGTAGTTTGAAACCAAGTCATATGTTAAGCTGCCATCAGGTGGTCATTCAGAGTACTGCCATAAACTTACTAAAATGTTCAGACATGAAAAGCTTTATTTTTGCTTAAAGTTCAGTTAAATTAGTTATTTCCTTTGTTTTTATTAATTTAGAAATATATAGGAATATTCCCTTTCCTTTATAAATCCCATTTTTAAACTGAAAGACTTGGAACTTAATGACTAAATCATAAACGTTCTGCACAACACATACTGTACTGTATCTCCTAGCTATTTGTCACTTAAAGCCATTTTTTTGTATTTTCATGATACCGTTGTCTCATGCTTACCTCTGGCTGCCTTCACATGTTGTCTGCATCTGCGCACTTCTCCATCTTCTGCTCCACAGGGCTACAAACCTATACAGAGGTATACCACTTTCAAATCCTGCGTGAGGAAGGAACTCTATAGCAGATAAATGACGGTATGTGTTAGCCACCCAGTCTGAGTGTGCAGGCATGCTTGCAAGAGTGGCTGAATGTTTAGCTGTCACTGCTTTGTTTCCTGTTCAAAAACTCAGGAGAAGGTTATCTGACTGCAAGCAAAGTGGTAGCTCAAAGCATCACGTTGTGGTTTTGAATGAAGCAATTGAATTTTATGCTGTAGTTGGTAATGACTAATTCACACTGTCACTGTTTTGTAAGCCAGCTGCGATTTTGTATTGTGTTCGAAACGAGGAAAAGTATTCTTTCATAGTTTCTGTTGCTGTTTTCTGTCTGTCCTGTTACCTCTTCTCAGGTAATTTCCCAGATACCTATAGTTAATAAGGATTTACCAATGAAGATTGTAGAGGCAGATTTTTCTGACTTTTAGTAACTTGATTCTACTTCAATTTATACTATTAGACTTTTGAAAGTAATAATCATTTTTGGCTTGATTAATGCTATACCAGCAATTTTCAAAAATCAGCACTGTGTCCACACACAATCACCATGACTGTTTCCACGTATGCACCACATGAATGTCCATTCTTACAATTAGATTGTGCTGTGGGTTTCAGTGTAAAAACTGGGGTATTCATATTCTGTAGCCATACTGTGAAAGTGTTTGTCACACAGTGGACACAGCAGACACTGTGTGTTAGTAGACATTTCCCTTCTTACCTAAAGCAAGAGTTTGTTCCTTTGTGATTTGAAGTTTTTTCCTAATTACATTTTAATTTTATTATTATTTTGATTAACTATTAACACTTTTAAAATTATGCTTCCTTTATGAGTCTAACCCAAATACTGAAGCATTTGTACTAATATGTGAGGGACAGAACAGGAAATTTGATCTTAATAACCAAAGCGTCTGGTTTCTCCATTTTATTAATGGGAAGTGTAAGTGACTAATGAAATAGTTGAAACAACATTTTAGTAATCCAAGTTGCTAGTCACATTAGAGGAAAGTCATGGCTTTAAATTAATTTTATGTAACTTTGTATCTTTGAAACTTTTTACTCTCAAAGCTTCCTTTCTTGTTTTCCCTTGTATTTTAAAAAATGATTTTTAGTAGTACTTTTTGTCTTTTTGACAAAACCCATATTGCAGTTGCATGTCAAGTATTGTTTAAACTATAAACTTTTCAAGATATGGAACAGCTCTTACAGGAAACTGGCAAAATGCTATACAGTCATGATGCATCCCTAATAATAGCAGTGAAGGGTATGTGACCTAGTGGAAAAAAAATGCAGTGACACAAAGGAATCCAGTACCTAATCATCAGACCTAATAAAATTATCTTGGTGGCAGAAAGGTTGTAAAAGCATCAAGTTTACATACATCAGTACCTTATCAGATCTGAACTCAGGCAATAAATTTATAGGCTGAGATGATGTAAACTGGGAAAAAAACATACAGTGGAGATGTTGTTCAGTTTGTATAAAGTCATTCTCAAGAAAAAATTTGAAGTTGAATAATAGTATGTTTACACTACACACTGGGAGACAGAGAAACCAAGTTAATTCTCAGAGCATGGTCTTGGCTACAGGCAGCCTCACTGACATAGTGTAGAAACTTTTGGTTATTTACGCTGCTCTTCTTCCCAGCTGGAGCTCCTGGATGCTATTAATGAAAATTCTTCTTGTACCCAAGCTTTCTTGAAAAGGTCTATATCAAACATTTGTTGCCTGTGCACTGAAGAATGCAGTGTAAGCCTTACTTATTCCCTGTTTCCTGCTGACACATTAGTTTGCTACTACTCTTCACTTAAGCAACTGGTTGTCTCTTCATGAATTAAAATCATAGAATCACAGAATTGTTGAAGTCAGAAAAGACCTCAAGTCCAGCCATTACAGTGACATAACCAGTTGTTGACTGTTCAGAGTTCCTTCTTGTGCGAAACATTCCATAACTCATAATACTTTTTCAAATTCGTTGTAAACTTCTACTAAAGTTCATTATTAAGTGCCACTTAATGGAAGTGGAAGCTTTAGCCAAAGCATGTGAAGTGATTTAGTGAAAGTTACTGAGGAGAACAGAGATAGTTTCCTTGGAAAGCCTGTAACAAGTGTGTGGTCCCTGAAGGGCACACAGCCTGACCCAGCATTGGCAGGTACTCCTTTGTATACACTGCAGGGAGAACTGAAAAAAGGATGTTGGGAGAGAGCTGCCTAACAGAGCATAGAGGAGGACTCTGCTTTGAATGTCTTGTAGAAGGATTATGAAGGAAATTTCTAACAAAGGCCTTTCAAAGTTAATTTCTGAAAAGAGATGCTAGAAGGCAACTTAAGAAGGGATTCAAGTCCATCTAAAAGTACTGTTTGCCAAACTATTTGCATGGTCAGTAGATGTGATAGATATTTAAGCCAAAATTCTGATACTGACTTCTAAAGTATTGAAACAAAGTATTGATATTACATGTCACAAATGTAAATCTAGAAATTAAGTTCTATATACCAGTCCTGAGACTCTTAAGACATTTTGCTTTAAAAGAACTGATTTCAAAATATTCTGAATGTCGTGGGTTTCAAAATTTCTGATTTAAGGTTTTTAGGAAGTAATCGTTAATAGCTGAAAATAGTGCCTTGAGACAGACTGAGGAAGGAAATTTCATTTTGAGAAAGACATGAAAAACTGAAGCATGGATTCAGAATCTCATGTCTATCTGTGTTCCAACTATAAACTGTTATCTTCTGTAAACACTTCATTCTGTCAAGTGAGATTAAGTTTGTCATGTAGCTAATATTTTCAAAGCTTTTCATTTCTATACTATCCTAGTACACAGCAGTTGAATACATCTGTTGTAAGCTTAAAAAAAACTAAAAGAGGTTGTTGCTTATTACTTGAAGAGACTTTTGCTTAGCTCTTCTCTAAAGTAGAGAAAGTGAGAAGCTTGTGATTAGGCACACCTTACTGATTTACCTTACAAAAGTAATTGGAGATTACAGAACCTGGGCTTTTGAGTCTAAACCTGACTAGAAGCTTAAAAGTATACCTGAATACAGTGGGAGGAGAATGTTCCAGTGAAATGTGAAAGCATTGCAGAGTGTGTGACCAAAATGATTTCTTCTGTGGATTTGGTACACTGACAGTAGATACAAGAACAGTGCATACATTATAAATAACACTGTTCATCTGAACAGTCAGTGTATTTCAGCATTTCTTTTAATGACTTTCATGAACATTTCTCTGAACTTGTTTTGTAAAATAAAAAAGGTGTACCTTAAAGCACAAGTTAATCAAGTGAATGTACTTTTGTTAAACAGTGCAGTGCAATTTGCAAATAATGCATTTTTTCACGAGATCGATTACAAATTTCTACTAAATGATGCATTCATGTAAGTATTGTTTCTAATATTTAAAGTCTGGATTATATATTACTGTGGATTAGATTGTTTTCTGTATATTTACAACTTCTCCATAAAATTCTGTGTTTTTTAATTAAACAAGATGAGTGAGAATAATTAATGAATATAGGCTTCACTGTCTAACGATTGATTTTAATGTACTGCAGTGTTGCAATATTTTTAATAGCTTTACTTAGTTCAACCAAAACAAGGTATTGGACAATCTCTCATCTTGTGTCCTGGTTTTGGCTAAGAGACAGTTAATTTTCTTCCTAGTACCTGGTACAGTGCTGTGTTTTGAACTCAGGATGAAAATAATGTCACAGTGATGATGTAGTTGCTACTGAGCAGTGCTTACACTAAGTCAAGGACTTCTCAGCTTTTCCTGGGGTCCTCCGCACCCCAGTGAGGAGGCTGGGGGTGCACAAGGAGTTGGGACAGCTGACCCCAGCTGGCCTGAGGGATATTCAATACCATGTTGTGTCATGCTCAGCAAATAAACTGGGAGGAAAGCTGAGTGGGGACTGCTGCTCAGGAACTGGATGGGTGTTGGTTGAGGGGTGGTGAGCAGTTGCATTGTGCATCACTTGTTTCCTATATTCTAATTCTTTTTTCCCTTTTCTGTTAAACTGTCTTTTATCTCAGCCCATGAATTTTAGGGGGTTGGATTTGGTTTTTTTCTGATTCTCTCTCCAGAGTGGGGGGAGTGATGTTCATCTGCCTACCTGTTTAACCTGTAACACCTTGATACTGTAACTGCTTGCCTCCAGATACTGTACCTAAATTGTCATCCATCTTAGAAATTAAAATTACTTGTAAATGTTTTTTACTTTCCTATAGCAATTATAATTCCTGTTTCTCCTTTAGCTTCTTTCCCCATTTGCCCTAATACTTAGTACCTCTCCATCTTTCTACACCTGCTGTCAAAACAGGCTTGTGAAGTTAGGAAAAGTGAAAGAAATAAGATCCAGTGATAATTACAGATAGCATAGAGTCTAGTGAACCTCCCAGGCCAGCCCTTGGCCAGTATTCTTCTCCATTCAATGGGCACTTATTCATGTTGCTGAACTACAATGCACTTTAGGATTAAGGTAACCTCGTATAGAGAAGCTTTCGTGTCATCTGCCTATCTTGTATTTGGCTTTTCCTGATGCCTCAGTTTAATGAACATTAGTAACTTTCTGTGCTTTTTGTTTGGTGTCATAAGTGAACTTTTTAGTACACTGTCAACACAAGCAAGAAACAAAACTAGAGAGGGAGCAGGACTAAAGAGCAAGTTCTTTCCTGCAGCTTTTAATATAAATAGGCTATCTGTTGAATGCTAACTGTGTGCTGTGAGATGAGGATGCATTTTGAATACTGAACCTGTGTATGGATTTATAACCCTCATTTTACAGAAGTAAATTTGATCTTTCATTATTTTCATATTAAAATATCTATCTAGTGTGTATGAGTCTGAGTAGAATTTAATGTAGAATTAAGGCATTTAGTGAATGATATCTTTTTTTTAGTTGTATGTTTTTCACTTTTCACAGGAGACTCCAAAGTATGGTTGGAAGGAATATTACTCTTGTGTGATGACTGTAACCAGTGAACATCTCAGAGATCTGTGGAAGCAATTTCGGAGACAAGATATGCTGAGATAAAGGAAGGAAGAAGAATTACCTGCACTGGCTAGAAATACTTATTCCTATGAATTCCTAATGAAGAACAAACTAACCCAGGTGAATTGTGAATCTTCCAGCTGCAGCAGAAAATACAGGACTTCTTTTCCACTTAGTGTAGTGATCACCAACTCTTAAAACTGCCTTTCAGTATGTATTTTATTTAAATGACGAACTAACTATTACCTGAGTGACAGAAGTCTTTTTTTTTAAGAACACCTTTTGAGTATTATTTTTTTATTATTTTGAGATAAGTTTGTCATTTAAAAAAAATGCCTGGGTAGGAAAATGTTTTGGCAATGAAGAGAAACTCCCTGCATCAGCTTAGACTGTGAATTTGCTTTCAGAAGAGCACTACTAAAAATTTGTGCTAAACTGAAAATGAGAATGCATTAAGTAGCATAACAATTATGTATGAGTTGAATGGACAAATTAAACTCTTAGGAGCTGTTATTTTAAAAAGAGTAAAGCTGTTATGGTTATAATGTGAATGATAGGTATTTACCTAGGAAAAGTACTGTATGAACTATAATGTTCAGATTCTCCGAGTCTTATTATTATGTCTATTAATTTATCCTTTTGAAAAATAATAGGGATTTTATGATGTCTTAAAAGCAGTACGTCAAAGAAAAGTCAAAATGTTCATATTCATGTTAAGTAACAGATACTTTGTAATATTTATTATAAATTTTATTGCCATACACTGATATGTTTCCAGTAGAGTAAAACTTCATGTGTTTCTTGTGAATAGTGCACCTTTGTATGAAGCGGCACTGAGTAGAAATTATAGTTGTCTAATTTGCTACTCTGGAATGCAGTATCTGAAAACAAATAACTTGTGTTTGTGTCAAACAAAAGAGCAAAACAAAACATGATTGCATGCAGCAGTATGGAAAAACATTAAGTAATATTATTTGAATACCACATGTGAAACATCAGACATAGATTAGGCTGTATAAAGGTTGTGGAGAATACAGGCCATCAGTAGCCACTACGATCTGTCATGCCCTCTAGGTTTAAATGTTACTGAAACAGTGGTATGGACACTGTTATATTGGTTTTTCATATTCTCTAAGTTTATCATTTTCTATTCAACAACAGCATTTTTCCTTACTCCCTTCCAAGATTGTCAGGAGGTATGAATTCAGTGCAAACAAAGAAGAACACATATTTTTATACCCTTCTGGAAAAGGTTCACTGGACATTGAATAATTCTGTATCTGTCCTGGAACAATCTGTGCCTTGAAATCTTTCTAGCTGAATACACACACACCCACACTAAAATGTCAATAAATTGTTATCAGAAAGGCAAATACTTGGTAGTCACACAATCAAAACAGAACCAAAATAATAGTTTTAAATATCTAATTACCCCAAATATGTGAAAGCAAACTTTTTAAAATTTTATTCAGTGCACATGTTGCTAAAATACCATCTTAGATCTTATATCACATGTGACTAGATGTGTAGCATTTGTGTAAGTGGACCTAAGTTTAGAAATGTTTAATTTATAGTAAGATTCATCTCTGGTAAAAAAATAAAAACAAAATAAGAAGGAAGTTTTTTTTATTAAGAAATTCCACACTGGGAAGTCTAGAAAAAAGTGTGCTAGGTGGTGGCTAAAAACAACAAGCCAGTTTAGAAAACTATTGAAGGATGATACTTTAAGTTAATATTTCATGATAAAAACTTGCAAAATTTCAACCTTGGTGTCTTTAAGCTACTTACAACAACAAAAAAAAAATCAAATAAATTGGGATAAAGGTTCTTGAATTGACACAGCAGAACACATACAAGCTGCAATCCCTGTGTGATCATGTAGGGAATCAACTGTATTCAGTGTATTGTCTTGGTACGCAGAACTGTCTCACTGCTTCTTGTCAGCATGTAAAAAACCCAGTTTGCTTCTTCAGTGATGAAGGACAAAAAAAAGGGAAGAAATGATAGGGAGTCATTGAAGGGCTCCCATCTTTCTGTTTTGTTTACTACTGCCCACTCACAGTGATCCTTCCCTTGGAGGAAGCAGCAGTACCATCACCATTTTGATCCTCCACTACCCTAGGCAATAGTGCACTTTGCATTTATGGCTGACTTGAGACAATTTTGGCATTTTTCTATATATTTCATAACTGTAGTCACTTAATATAAACTAGAATGTGAAAGTGTCAGATTAGTTTTTAAGAATATTTTTCCTCATGTTTAATAATGTTATTTAATATAAATATCAATATATACCTATAATGTTGTTTATTTCAAAATAAATGCACTTGAAACTAATTTTCTTTGCAGTATATGTCATTCAAATTCTTTTGTCATAAAATAATCTTTATTTTGGTAACACAAAATGTGTAAGCACTTTGAATTAGAGCATCTCACAATCACAAAAAAATAAACTTGTTTTCTTCTTTTGGTCATCTCTTTAGATAGCTTTGCTTTTCTGCCGCAGAATTCTGTATAAAAGAGCTGGAATGCAAGGACAGGTGAAAACAAGGCAGGGCAATGGCACATGCCATCTGCTATAGAGGCACCCCTTGGATAGGCAGCAGTCACTGTGCTCAGTAAATTCGTAAATTATTCAAAATCTGCCAAATTCCTGGCAGCAGAGAAAATGTGTATGCTGCCGTGAAGTCATGTGAAAAGTTGTGTAAATTAAGGCTTTTTTTAAAACCAGCTCTTGTTCTCCTCCGTAAGTTAAGAAAACTGTAATAGTGTAAGTGGATATTTAGAGGATGCTTTAGGAACTGCCCACTGATGCCCAGACCAGCTGGGATAAAATGGGAGCAAGTAAACCTGCAGCTTTGGGTAGCTTTGTGATACTAACTTTTGCCTGCTCTGATGAATTCCTAGTTCCTGGCAGAATATCCAGTACTACAAGCTCCTTCCTGCTAATCTTCAGATATTAAAGATTACACTGGCAGTTTCCTTCCTTGCTCATTTTGGCAGTAAGTTGATACAAACTACTTCCACTGCAGATTCTTGTGTTGTGTGACATGGAAAGCTATCAGCCTGAAGAAAAAGAAACACTACTGAACAGTAATTTGCAGAATTTTGTTGGTAATACTGCCTGGTCTCTATAGTTATTTGATCTCTTCTTGTCCACCTAAATAATGGAATACAAGTGCATTGAAATAAAAGTGGAAAAAATTATAGAGAAATTTTTCTTTTTCATTCAACATCGTGTGATATTCTTTACCTTATGATGTGTCTTGATTTCTTGTCCCAGTGAGGATATTTTCAAGACAGTTTCTGCAAAAGAACTCCAGACTAATACTTGCAGAAGGAAAGGAATCAGAGCAAGAGCTCACTGTTCAAAAATTAATCTGAAACTGATTTTTAGCAATACTAAGTCTGAAATCCCCTTAAAATCAAGCCAAAACTAATACGAATATTTTCTAATATGTGTGAGGTCTGAATGTAAAGTATTATTCCCTATATCTGAAAATCCATGGAAGTATTTGGCACCCTGAACCTGTCAGCAGATAATGCCCTTGGATATATTGCGTTCTTTTTCTTACACACAATTAAATACATGAGGGTGTGCTTTAATCTTGAATGGGTAATGTTAATTTTTCACCACTAGTTTGACTTAATGCTCCTCTGTGGGAGGAATTTATATTATTAGCTAGTAGCATTCCATAAAAATACTAGTCCCACTTGAATTTTTTTTTATTAAAATACCTAATTTTGTATATATAAATATTCATAGAAACAGCAACATATCACTCCTGGGATTTTTTAAATTCTAACCCTGATTCAGAAGCTACAACCTAGATTCAAAAGGAGTGCTATAAAATAAACTTTTAGGTATTCAAATCTCAGTAAAATACTGAGTCTGAAGTTAGTCACCTGGGCTTTCAAAAGAAATACATGCAGGGAATTGCACAAGATCCAGAAATACCTCAAACTGGTTTAAATCCGCAAACTAAACTACTCAGCCAGGCAGTGCTGACTACAGAGACATTGTAAGATGTTCCTGGGAGCTGTGCATTCTCATTTGCTTTCTTTAGTGGCCATTAGCATGTGTATGACAGTGGGGGGAGAGGGCTCAGTTAGAAAGTGACACAGCCAAAAAACCCGTGCAAACATACACACAGATACGATTCCATGAGAACAGCTCCCTGTTACAGGAGTGCTGGGGACAGCGGGTGAGAGAGGATGGAGGTGCATTGCCTGGAGCAGAGGTGAAGGGCAGGATAGTGGCAGTCAGTACTTTTCGGGTGCTGTGAACCTTGCATCCTTTTCCATATCATTTCAAAAAGAGAGTGGACAAACTACTAAAACTGGCTTACAGGCTGGCAGTTAAAACATTTCCATCAGAAGTGGAAAGAAAGAAATTGTGGCTGTTCCTGCATTTTATGCAGACATATTCTGAGGATCCCCAGCAACAGAAAGCTTGAACTTAGGCAGGAATTTTATCCCTGGGCAATGGCCAAACCAAGATGTATGGCCAAGGAAAGAGTGGCTTAGGTCTCTCAAGGCATTTTGGGGCATTAGCTGTAGAAGTAGGTTTAAATGACCCTATCTAAAATAAAAAGGAGGTTGTCAGACTGATAGTTTTAAATTTAGATGTCTTCTTTTGGAGTCAACCATTAAGTCAGTTAACTTCTATTTCAAATGGTAGAAAGCACTGGATTGGTGCACACAGCATGGAATAAGGTTTCTTAAATACAGCTCTTGAGGGGTTTTCCACTACAGGGATTTTGATTTTTGCCTAAGCGGAGACCTCCTTGGGCCACTGTACAGATCTCCATTGCACCAGAACTAGTACTGATTGGAGCTAGTTTAGCTTTTTCCTATGTTTCCCACCTTAAGTGACAAAAGGGGAAGCAGCAGGGGAATGAAAATTCATAAATGGATGCATCTGAGAAAAAAACAATGCAATGAATAAACTACTGCTGAAAGTGACAGAAGAGTGGGTGGGTAATAACCCCAAATAGGACTTCAAAAAACTTCCTTGAAGGCAGACTCTGACAAATACAGTATTGTATCAATCCAGAGGTAGCAATCAAGACATTTGAGAAGGAACTTCATTTCTTGAAACAAAGCAAAAGAAAAAAAATAACCAAACCACCACAACACCACCAAACAAAAAAATTATATGACAACAGTTAGGTTTGGGTATCCAAACAGTTGCAAACAATTGAGTACTGAGCTCAGATGAAGGGAGAGCAAGAAGTTGAATACATCTGGGCCAGTCCTTAAATTAAAATACATTTGACAGCAGGACTGACACTGGGGAGGCTACTTAAGCTGCTTGTTTTCATGTAGCTGGGAGCCACAAACTATACACAGATGGTTCCTGACTCCAGCTGAGATGCAACATACATTTTCTAGGTGACACCTTATAGCAGAGGCATTGGAAAGAGGTTTCTTCTCCTTTACGTGATAAGCATCATCCAACACCTATAAGATAAGCGAGCAGCACAACCACTGTCCTGAAGGCCAGAGAGCATCCCTGTAAAGCTGCTGGTTCACCTAATTAGTGCCTTGTGCCTGTATGTCTGTCTGTCTGTATTCCTGCTTCTAGGTGCTGCTCTGTGTATTGCACTTGTGTAGGAGCAAATATGTATACTCCTGTCCTTCTGTCCCTCCTCCTCTTGCTGCTCCACTGAATACACAGGATGTCGTGGGCGAGAAAGTATTCCACCATATCAGATTGCTTACATAGGGGAGGACGTGTTCAGAGTCTGTAAACTATAAGTGCCTAGTCTGAAAAATACTTCTTAAATTAAGAACATTTTTGTGTGTGTTTATCAGTCACTGTATTGCATATACTTAGTCTGGGATTTTTGAAATAAACTAAATAATGAAAGTAATACTGAATTTAAAGAAAGCTATTATGAGTTTAGAAAATGAATCATCCTTTATTGCTAACTGACAAAGTTCAAGAAGCATCTGGACGATGCTTTCAGGCACATATTGTGATTCTTAGGGCTGTCCTGTGCAGGACCAGGAGCTGGACTTTGATGATCCTTGTGGGTCCCTTCCAACTCAGAATATTCTGTGATTCTGTGATTTTCAAACTGTTCTAGCACAGTAAACCTGTGACATCTTAAAATTAATTATCTAATAATGTGAAGTCTTTATTTTCCACACTCAGTTGTTGCAATGGTAGTCTTAAGAGTTCAGTGTAATTTTATAAACAAAATTTAATGAGCTAGATAAACATATGGTGTTTCCAGCTACAGATGCTCTCTTACTGCAGTACTGTGTATTCAATTCACGTACACATTAAGGAGAACACTGTTAATTTTCATAATCACTTTTGTGGCTCATTTTACTTTCTTATTTGTACTGTTTTTAAGTTTTATAACCTTTCAAACAGGCATAAAACTGTGCTCTGAAGAGACTCACTATGCCAAATTATCATTAACAGATCATTTTTCTCTTTTATATGTTAAATATTCTCCCTTTAAATTTCCTTCCATTTTGCTGCCATTACTTTATAAGATTGATTGTCAGGAACTGTTTATCACATCTTAATAAAATACATTCAAGACGTCTGTGTAACTTCATTAGACATATACAAACCTTCTACTAATGTTTGCTTTAGACAGACAACTTACTAACTACTACCAGTAGTTTCTTACTTCTTAAATGCACCAAAATGCTCTTAGCTATCTATACACAGTAAGCAGTGTAGGAATGCAGCATCACCTGACTATAAGTGTCAAAGAACTTTTAGCGTCAGCCATTGGAACAATGTAATTCTTTATTTAAAGATGGGTCAACAAAGCTGAGACTTGCAAAGGAGCAGTTTCTAATTAGGACTGCATGCTAAGGGTACCAAGATGCCTTCCTTCAGAAAGAGGCACAGTTCCCACACCCCCCTTCTGTATCTGAGCCCAGCTGGAATCTACGTTTCAGAGCATATGGAAGGAGAGAGCACCTGCTTTGCTAATGTCATCTGACCAAGGACCTTGTCAACTGGGAGGACGAAGGGGGGAAGCCAAGCATACAGATGCACAAACACAACAACGCTCCCAGAAGACGACAGCAGGGAGCCCTGGTCAGCCAGGCTGGTTGACAAGGTTATGTGGAGCAGGAAGCTGCTTGTTTCAACAAGATCAGCTGCACAAGGGGGTGTGCGATTTCACCAGTGAAACTTAGCCCTGACAGCCAAAGGGGAGAAAGGAACTTGACTGTTGGCACTCGTGCGAGTCCAGTGCATAGGCACTGTTGAAATTGCTGGTGGTTGGGCCAGAAGGCAGCAGCCACGTTTACCAGGGAGGAGACACTGGGTCTCTGGGCTGGGCTCCAGCAGGGAAGAGGATGCCCAGCCCCAGAGCTGTGCATGCAGGCCCCTTCCTCTAACATGCCTTCATGCTACCAAGGTCACACAACTGGATACAGGAAATAGTCAGACATGGTAATGTTAGAAATTTCCAAATGTATTCCAGGAGAGACACATTTAAAACAAAAAATCCACCAGCAGTACTTAGCATATACCTTGCCTGAGGAGAAAAGCTGAGCAGTATTACCACTTGTGACAAGAACATTTTGTTTCAATTTGCCAGACACCCAAGTTACCTCCTTAAACACTAGCTATGTTCAGCCCAGCTCCTGACAAGAAAATTAGCTTAATTTCCTCTATCTTTTTCTTATGAACATTTTCATGCAAGCAGCAATAAACTGTGCCCCAAGTAACCTCTCTCATGATAGAGAGAGGCAGCCCAAGAACAGTAATTGGGGAAACTTGTCCATTAACACCTAATGGATTTAGATTATACCAGTTTTTATTTCTGCCGTAGTAAAATTCTCCTTTGAATATGCTCACTCTTGAATTGTTCTGCTGTTACCTAAAATGTCTGTAGGTCATACCACAGAGGGAGGAAGAGGAGGAAAGGCACAGAAGAAAGGGTTTCTCATGGTCATCACCCATGAGTGATTAGAGTCATGGAGGGACTAGAAAGTAACTGTGGCGATGAAGGAGATATAGAAAGCCCATGTCCCTGGGGAGAAGACATGAGGACAGACGATTCTTTACAGCTTGGACCAAAGGATACTCCAAAGTAATTGGCAGTACCAGTCAAAGTAGGTTTTTTTGTCCCACCTAAATTAACGTGAGGTTTGCCTGTTTATTTCACTGAATGGGCTAATTTAAAATCAAATGACCATGATTTTGGAGCTCTGGTAAAGCATATGCT